TCAATACCTGCATATTTTAAACTGTTAATTGTCTTGAAGAGGGTAGGATTGTCAGGCTACAATATCTTTGTTTACTAGATCTCCCTGGTTAACTCTAAACCCCAAAGAACTACAGCAATATCTGCTTTGAAAAAGAAAGAGAAAAAAACATAGATAAAGCAAAGGAAAAACCTCTGAAATGTTTAAAATATTTACTGCATAACAAACACAAAAATACAGGTTTTTAACCTCAGTTTTTAAATGTTAAATCACATTATTCAAAAATACCACAGTAATAAACAGAAATAAATCAGGCCTCTCTGTTAAAGGAGAAAACATAATAAAGTTCCTTGAAAATAACAGGTCCCCAAGAAAAGGTAGATCACTTCCTGACTTTCCCTTCCTTCATTTTAGCAAAGAGTGAACAGACAATACCATTCCCACTTAGACAACAGATAATAAACAATCGCCATAAGCCAGAAGGGACTAGTATGGGTTGCTGGAAATAGGCCATTTAGCTAAACATCAATTTTTGTAAAGTTAAATCTAATGACAAAGCCAAAAGCTTATCCACTAGCACCTTTGTTAATGTACTCGGTAACACTTTTCATGTGGAGCAGAAGTCATATAGGAATACACAGCATAAAACTAAACAAAGAAGAAATTCCAGAGAGGTACAATGAACATAGAAGCCAGTTTCACAGACACCACATCTGAGAATGCTGCATAATGGGAAAAACATTTGCAAATCACATATCTAGTAAGAAATTAATATTGGAATATATAAATTTCTACAGCAATTTTTAAAAAAAACTACAGTTCAAAAATAGTCCTTGTATTTGAAATGACATTTCTTTAAAGATATATAAATGGCTACTAAGCATATGAAAACATGCTCAGTATCACCAGTCGCTAGAGTGAAAATCAGAAACACAGTGAGAGCAAAGAATCGACGAATGCTTGCTCACCTTGCCCCTTTATCATTTATGGTCTATATAAAAGACCCACTTTACACTTACTAGGATGGCTGTAATTAAAAACAACAGACAATAACAAGTGTTGGTAAGGATGCAAAGACTAGAACACTCCCTCCTGCATTGCTGGTGGGAATGTAAAGTAGTTCAGCCAGTATGAAAAGACTGAATATTTCTGAAAAACTTAAAAATCAAAATTACAAGAGCAGAGACTTGAACAGACACTTATGTATCCATGGTTCACAGCAGCAGCATCCAAAACAGCCAAGTGTAAAAACAACCAAGTGCGTATCAGCAGACAGAAAGAACTGTGGCATAGCTACAAAACAGGCCAGTAATCAGCCTTTCAAAGAGAACTGAGTGTTGACAGATTCCACAACATGGATGAACTTTGAAGGCATTGTCTCAGTGAAATAAGCAGGAAGACAAATATTGCACAATTCCCACTCAAGGCAAATTTAAAGACTCAGAAAATAGAGGAAATGATTTAAGAGATAACAAACTTTTTCACAGTGGCTTATACCTATAATCCTGACACTCAGAAGGCTGAGGTAGGATTAGCTAGATCTTAAGGTTAGCCTGGCTCCAAGCTGAGTGTTCCAGGTTAGCCTGAGTTACTAAATGAGACTGTCATAAAACAAAAGTGTTACTTACACTGGAGAGTGTGATGGTCAGTACTGCCAACACCTAGGAGACAAGCTGCTGTGCACATGAAAGACTGTCTAGATTTAAGATTGTTTGAGAATGTCTGTGAGGGACTATCTTGATTATACTAATTGACATAAGTTTGGATGGGACCACTCCCTAGACAGGAGATACTAGAACATAAAAGATAAAGGGGCAAGCTGAGCAAGCATTCGTCGATTCCTTATTCTCTGTCCTTGACTGAATATAATGTGACCGAACCAACGGCTGCCTCTTTGACTTCCCCTACAAAATGGATTGTAACCTGGAATTCTGAGCCAAATAAATCTTTTTGTCTTTAAGTTGCTTTTGTGAGAGTATTTTGTCACAGTAACAGAAAAAGAAACTAAGGCAGGGTGCTGAAAAAGATAGTGGTAATGATTACATAATATGAATATATTTAATTTAGAAAAAAAAAAACCACAGAATCACTAAAGCCCTTTTCACCTCGAAGCAGAACAGAATGTAGAATAACAGAAAGGGGCAAGATATTTATAGTCTTCTAACTTTTGAAAGAGGGGATATAAGCAATATGAGTCTCTTGTAAGCTTGGGAAGACCCCATTTCTGGAAAGACTCCCATGAGTCAATACACATAGTCACTCACATAGTCAATACACATAGAAAGACTCCCATGAGTCAATACACATATGTTTGGAGGAACTCAAATTTACCAATGCTCTCTGGTTCTATATGAAAGTTTGAGGTTTGTGTTAACGATTCAAGATAAACAACATTCTAAAAATAAATATGTTTCTTTGAAAACTATTTCAGCAGGATTCTTTAATAAAGACAATGTGCATAGCTAGCAGACAGATCAATGAACCAGGAAGAAAGGTTCCCTCCACTGCAAGAAAGTAGTCAACAGATTTTGACAAAAGTACAAATGCCAAAAAGGAAGATTACTTCAACAAATGGTGCTGAAAAGAACTGAATATCCAAATGGAATAATAAAAACCTCAACGTAAATCTCACACCTTATACAAATGAACATAATTAGGCAGTCTAGAAGCTGAGGCAGGATCATGAGTTCAAGGCCACAAGAGCAGAGGCAGAATAATCACTCTGGAAAATAGTTAACAGTTTCTGTAAAAACTAACTACACACTTAGGATATAGCTCACCAATCCCACTCCTAGGCACTCACCCTAAGGAAATGAAAACTTATGTTGACATAAAAGTCTGTGCATAACTGCTTAAAGCATCTGTATTTATATTTGCTAAAAACTGGACCCCAACCAATTATCCCAAACAAAGAAGCTGACAGTGGTATATCTGCACAAATGCAGCAACAAATCAGCAACAGAAAGCTGTGAATCTCAAAATCACAAAGAATTTTAAGGAGGTGTTCCAAATGTTCAATATCCTAATTAAGATAGTAATGATGGAATCTGTGTATCTGCTGAAATGCATACAACTGTACAGTTTTTTAAAAACGGGATTTTACTATAATTTATAGGTGTTGGGGGACAGATCAATGAACCAGGAAGAAAGGTTCCCTCCACTGCAAGAAAGTAGTCAACAGATTTTGACAAAAGTACAAATGCCAAAAAGGAAGATTACTTCAACAAATGGTGCTGAAAAGAACTGAATATCCAAATGGAATAATAAAAACCTCAACGTAAATCTCACACCTTATACAAATGAACATAATTAGGCAGTCTAGAAGCTGAGGCAGGATCATGAGTTCAAGGCCACAAGAGCAGAGGCAGAATAATCACTCTGGAAAATAGTTAACAGTTTCTGTAAAAACTAACTACACACTTAGGATATAGCTCACCAATCCCACTCCTAGGCACTCACCCTAAGGAAATGAAAACTTATGTTGACATAAAAGTCTGTGCATAACTGCTTAAAGCATCTGTATTTATATTTGCTAAAAACTGGACCCCAACCAATTATCCCAAACAAAGAAGCTGACAGTGGTATATCTGCACAAATGCAGCAACAAATCAGCAACAGAAAGCTGTGAATTTCAAAATCACAAAGAATTTTAAGGAGGTGTTCCAAATGTTCAATATCCTAATTAAGATAGTAATGATGGAATCTGTGTATCTGCTGAAATGCATACAACTGTACAGTTTTTTAAAAACGGGATTTTACTATAATTTATAGGTGTTGGGGGAGAGAGGGAGGGAGAGAATTTAAATCAAATCTTGAAAGGAAAAGATCTAAGCCAGTCAAGGCTCTGAATACATACCAAGACAACCAGTCTGCTTCTTTGGCAAATCCCAGGAAGGTACGGATAGGGCGGCATTCCTTCCCCCTTCAAACAAGAGCTCACCCACTGATAAATACTTGGAGGCTCAGAAGTAAAAAAGGATGGATGATGCATAAATCCCATTTGACCTTTAAAATTACATAAATGTTTATAAAGACATATAAATGCATTGACAATAACACTTTATTATAAAGAGAAAGATGGTCATAGTACCTGTCCTTTCGAACCATCAAAATTGCATTTTTCAATATTGTCCAAAAAAAAAAAAAAATCATGCTTTCTGTCACAGTAAGTCCACTGTATTATATATAAATGTAAATGATTCCTGCCTTATTCCATCCTAAATAAAAATTTAGTAAATTATCATGCATAAAACATATAGACTTTCTAACCAGGAGCTGGGAACATGGCATAATAGGTAAAGATGCTTGCTGCCAAGCCTGAACACCTGAATTCAATCCTGGGTCCCTCACAGTAAAAGATATCAATTCTGAAAAGCTGTCCTCTGACTTCTACATGTAAGCAATGGTACATCCACATCCACATCCACATAAATTCATACATACACTCTTGAACACAAAATACGTAAATGTAATAAAAAAATTTAAAGAGCCCTACCAATTTTTTTTTTTTTTTTTGCAAAACTCTAAAGGTGAGAAAAGTAAAGGACACAAAAGATTCAGTTCTTTGAGCCCTTTTAGCACAATCTAGAACCAACACTACAGTGGCAGTAGAAAGAGCCTATATTTGTGCTGTCCCACACCTGATAACTGCTAGTCCTATGTGGCTACTGAGTATCTTAAATATGACCAGTACATTGAGAAACTAAATCATTACTCTTAATTAAGTTCAAGTAATACATGACTAATAGCTACTAAATAGACAACATAGCCTAGGTTAAAGCATCCTGTGGCACTGGAAACGCCTAAACTTTTCCAAGTCAAAACTTTTAGGTAAAGTTCCCCCTACACACTATAAAGTTATGGCTTACTTTATAACTCAGATGTCAAATATTACTAATTAAAATGTGTGTAAGAAATATATCCTCTGCTATTCACTGAGAAAGACACAAGAAAAGAAAGACACAAGATACAATGTGCAGAAAATCTGTAATTGTGTGAAGACTTACCTTGGTCAACTGTATACACTTGTCCAGTAGTTCTAACAAGAGATGGGTAGTCTCTATAGTAATAATCCATATAAGGTCCCAATCTTAAGTCCCTAAAACATGAAGAGCATACAAAAAAGAATGTATTATCGCCTTTTGCCTCATAGAGTTAAAAAGATTAGTAAGAGGAACTTTTTAATTTAAAAAACATGCTTATGAGAAATCTGAAATCTCAAGCGTCTTTGTACCTGGATTTTACAGTCCCCAGTGTGACAAATACAGCCGAACATTTCCTTTTTCTAGAAGAATTACATGAACATAAAAGTAGAGAAAGCTGTGTGACCTTTAGTCAGGAATCTCTATGGACTTCAGTATTCTCTTCTCAAAAATGGGAGCACACTGGCTCACTCTGAGGTCTCTTGATTATTTTTTGTTGCTGTTTGGTTTTGGTTCTCTGAGACAGATCAGTCTCCCTTTATACCCAAGGCTGGCCTCAAACTCAAAGCTCCTACCACAGACTCCCAAGTACTAGGTTTATAGGCATGTGCTTCCATTCCTGGTACTATGAAGTTTTAAAGATTAAATAATATATGTGGAAAAATATAGAGCATGGTAGCACACCTGTAAATCCTAGCATTTGAGAGGTTGAAGCAAGAACATCAACAGTTTAAGGCCAGCCACAGCTATACAGACCTTGCATTCAAAAAAAAGAAACACTTATAAAATACCTAACAGTACACAAATGTTTATTATTTCAGAGTCATGGTTAAAGTTAGAAATTAATAACTTTTTTTTTTTTTTTTTTTGGAGACATGCCCTGGCTAGCCTAGAACTCACTATGTAGATCAGGCTGGCCTTAAGATCCACCTGTTTCTTTCTCCTAGGTGCTGGGATTAAATGCATATGTCACCATATTCAGCCCTCCAAAACAATTTTTGTGACAGCAATGACTTCTCATAAATAAAACTGATCACCAAATACAAATCCCATGTTTCAGAAAAATATTTTAGGATCCTCAGGATCACAGAAGCCAGAAAATATGCTATAATCTGAACTAAGAGAATGAAATATCAAATTTAACTTAGTTACCACCAAGGGTCACAAAAGCCCAAATGACACCTAAGTGTGATCTTTGGCATCCAGTGCCAAAGGCTCCTAAAACCTCTGAGAGCTACTACAGATCTACTGTGCTGAAAGAAAAGCATGACCACAGAATGCAATGAACAAAACACAAAAGGAGCCCCAGCTAACATCTCCACTCAGGTTCGTAAACACAAACGGGGTCAATTTCCTCATCACTACAGCATTTTATATGTAAACCGTGATTTTCCAAAGAGTACAACAATGCATAAATGTAGGTATTATTATAGAGCACATGAGCACAGAATTTCTACCACAGTGTAGCCAATCTTCTTGTCAAAATGAAAAGCTCAGTAGGTCATCCCCATTTTATGACTTTCCATTAATCTTAGACAAAGGCTAAAGAGTGCAGCACAGCCAGCAGGCTCTCACACAACTAGTATCAACAGTTCTCTGGTTTCCAGAAGAGCTTTGGAGACCTGAGAAGGTAGACTGAAGAAATTTTCTTGCAATGTTCCTAAAATGTATGATAGGAAGTAAGTCCTAGAAGGACATCTGGGCAGTGTACAAACAGTATCTACCTTGCCAACTGAACAAGGAGGTCAACAAGGGAAGAAATTCCTTCTCCCATTAGAGTATTCAACTTAAGCTCTTCATAGACAAGGTGAAGAACAAAAAATATCGCAGGTATATGAGTAAAGAGAAGAGTAGAAGAATCCAGACTGAAGCTCTGTGAAAAATCTTCATCCTTCTTCTTTGAAACTTCCAAAGAACTCAAACATAAAGATCGGTTCAGAAGATGAGACTGCACATTCTTGTGGTAATCTGAATTCAGTAAGTATTCCCAGTCCTGAGAAGACCAAAAAGAATGGTATCTATTTATATAATGCCTTCTTTAAATGTCATTTTAAAAAGAACAGCAAATTAACTCAAAGTCCCCATCAATGTTCACATTAAATTATTCCAATATAAAAAATACATCATGGGGCTGGAGAGATGGCTCAGCAGTTAAGAACACTGAATGTTCTTGCAGAAGACCCAGGTTCAAATCCCAGCACCCACATGGCAGCTAACAACTGTCCATAACTCCAGTTCCAGGGGATCTGACAACCTCTTCTGTCCTCCACGGACATTGCACGACACGGGTGCACTTACCTACATGCAGGCAATATATGCATACACATAGAAATATAAAAATAATAAATATTAAAAAAATACATCATGATGTTTTAAAAAAATTGAAGAAACTACAAAACAGCCAACCAATTTCCAGATGTAAGCATTTGTCCTTTGGGAGAAACTGAAAGAGGAATTCTGAGGTGACTTCGGGCCAGGCTTTATGAAGCCAACAGTACAAAGCAGCTGGCAGAAGCGTATACAGGCAGCTTAAGTGACACTAAACTCATTTGCATATTGCTGTGTTCAATTACTATCGCTATCTTACAGGTTATAATTTGCTCAGGTTAATAATATAATCAAATAATCAACTGAATTTTATTTTGGCTTATTTAACTGCATTTTCTAAGTATTGGATCTATTTTGATTTCTAACTGTGATTTATCATATTCTGAAATGAAAATTAAGTCTTTTTATTTTATTTATTTTTAATTTAGGTGTATGTGTGTATTGCCTGCATGTAGATAAGTGCACCCATGTCGTGCAATGCCCGCGGAGGTCAGAAGAAGCTATTGGATCCACTGGGACTAGAGTTACAGACAGTTGTTAGCTGCCATGTGGGTACTGGATTCGAACCTGGGTCTTCTCCAAGAACAACCAGTGTTCTTAACTGCTGAGCCATCTCTCCAGAACCCTGAAATTTGAGTCTAATTTTATTTCCACACTTATGTAGTTTAGTCTAGATCCTGGATTTTACTGTTTTTTTTTAAACACTTTATACAGTATATTTTCTAATTTAAAATTAACGCTTAGACCAAATAAAGAACTAACAAGAAAAGATGCCCAAAATCCAAGTACTCAGAAAGTAGAGGCATGAGGATGAGGAGCTAGAAGCCAGCCTGGGGTATACTTTAAGTTCCAGGCCAAACTAGACTGTGTTGCAAGACCCTGTCTCAAACATGGATTGGTATACATGTATTGAAATACCATAACTACTACATAAATATGAATAATTGCTACTGCTTAGTCAAAATTTTATTAAACCGTGAAAGACATGAAATGCTAACTACCTTGATTTACTATTATATGGTTTACACATGTCAAGTTTTCAGCTATCCTCCATAAATAATATACAATTAAAAATAAAAATGCTGGGGATGTAGAGATGGTTCAGAGGTTAAAAGCACAGGTTTGCTTCCCAGCATTCACATAGCAGCTAACAACTGTCCCTGACACTAGTTTCAGGGTATCTGACACCCTCTTCTGACCTCTGCAGGCACTGTATGTATGGATACATTTATATACATGCAGGCAAAACACTCATACACACAAAATACAATAAATGTTAATTGAAAATTTTAAAAAAGGAAATATTCAATAAACATATATAACAAAGTTCATGTCCAGAACATGTAAGGAAATTCCATAGTTAAAACACAGGTAAAAGATTTCAACAAAAACTTGACACAAAAGATATAAAAGTAGCTAATCAGTAGAAGAAAAAGTACTTACCACATTATTATTCAACAGAGAAAGGTAAATTAAAATCACTAGGAGAAACTACACACTGGTGTAAAGGAGGAGAGTTGACAAAGGCAAATATTGGCAGACTTGGGTGAGGATTCTAATACATCTCTGGTCAGTGTCACAAGAAGTAACCAAAAGAGATTTTTGTCCAAGAAAACATATATGAACAAAGGGTTGTTGCTGAATGTTAAACAGATCTTTATTCATTTGTCAAAAAAATGGAAACAGCCTATATACACTCTCAGAAGAAGAAGCAAACTATGATATACCCATAGTACTCAGAACAAGCAACTAATACAACACTGCAGACAAAGCTCTAAAATATTATGTTGAATGAAAGAAACCTTATATATATATTAGGTTTATACATACTATATTACTTCATTTATATGACATGCTAAAACAAGCAAAACTAACATGGTGAAAGAACTCAAGTCAGTGCTTGCTTGAGAAAGAGGGAAAGGAACTAATTTAAAATGATACAAAGGGAAATAATGCAAATATTTTGTACTTTGATAAGAGTGTGAGTTACATAAGTGTGCATATGTTAAAACTGATAAAAAAAAAAAAACTGATCAAACTGAGGGCTGGAGAGATGACTCCACAGTTAAGAAAGCTTTGCTATCCTTGTAGAGAACCTGAGTTTGGTTCCTAGCATCCGCCATTGACAACCACCTATACCTCCAGTTCCAGGAGATCTGATATCCCCTTCTGGCCCCCGAGTGCACCCACACTCACAGCACACACACACACACACACACACACACACACACAATTAAAAATAAATCTTTTTTTAAAAAAACTGATCAAATTGCTAAAGTTAAGATCTGAGGATTTCCAGGCTAGAGAGATGGCTCATGGGTTAAGAGCACTGACTGCTCTTGCGAAAGACCCAGGTTCGATCCCAGCACCCACATGATGGCTAGCAACTGTCCATAACTCCAATTCCAGGGGATCCTATGCCTTCTTCTGACCTCCTCTGGCATTGCACTACATGGGTGCACTTACATACATGTAGGCAATACACTCATATGTACAAAATAAAAATACTTTTTAAAAAAAATTTTTTAAAAGATGTAATGATTTCATTTGTATAGACCACTTAAAATATATCATGGAATCTGACACACTCAAGCCTAAATCAGAGAAACTCTACATAAAAGGGTAAACACTAAACACTTGTCAAATAAACGATCAGTTACCAATAAAATATCTGTAATTCCATATTGAAATCATATAGCAATAATTAACTCATAGCAATTTTTAGATAATTAAAGATAAAATGAATAAATGATGACAGAAAACACAACAGATTCTACCCTTCAAATAACTTACTATTAACACAAGCACAGTTTTTAACCCTAACACGCTGGAGGCAGAGGCAGGCGTTATCTCTGTGATCAGCTTGGTGTACACCTTAAGTTCCAGGCCAGTCAAAGTTACACAGTGAAACTTTGTCTCAAACAAAATAAATAGTAAAATGATTAAAGCAAAGGATACTGGAAAAATAGATAAAAGGATAGGAATACCACAAACATGGGAAACCAGTACAAGTATCCATATATTAATTTATATCATGGAAACAAAACATAATGCTTACATCATCGGATCCAGTCTCAGAAGGCCTTGCTTTTTTGGGTGCAATGACAGGGGAAAGTGATCCTTCAAAGTCAAACTGAAAAATAATCCCAAGACAGAAGAAAAAATTTTAACTTTGTTACTGCTAACTAACTCAAAGTATTTATGTATAGGTTCCACTAATTATAGAAATTGAAAAAGTCAACAAAACATATTTTTTCACAAGGAAAAGTATAGTAGAAATATTTTTCTTCTAGGTCATCATGAAGAGAAAGTTAAACTGTATGTGTAAACCATGGAACACAGTACTTGGGCTGACAAGAACTCAACTTTGTCATTTTCCTTCCTCTTCTTCTGTGATGGATGATGCAAATTACAACTCCACCTTTAGTGACATATCCACAACAAAGTACCAAAAAATCATGTAAGGAGTCACTGGCAATATTTTATACTCTCTATTGCATTACAGAAATGAAAACAAAAAGTGGGTAAATCTGCCAGGGTAGTCCCAGCACTCAGGAAGCAGAGGCAGGCAGATCTCTGCGAGATTGAAGCCAGTCTGGTATGCATATCCAGGAGCTACAGAGAGATCCTGTCTCCAAAAAAAAAGGGGTAAATCTGAACAAAGCAACTACTGAAAATGCACACCACAAAACCTCATTTGCCATGAAGACCATTTCCTCCCAAGATTTGATTTTGAAGACAAAAGATAACAAAAGTTTATCTATGTGACTTTATCAAGAAATGTTGAAGCAATTCAGCCTCAAGAAATCACTTTCAAGCCAGGTGGTAATACAAGCTTACAGCCTTAACTACTAGGAAGACTGAGGCAGGAGGACTGCTTGAGTGCAGGAGCTCAGGACCAGCTTGGGCACATAGTGAGATGCCATCTGTTTAAGAATAAAAAAGGATTTTCTTATGCACAACTTCAAACTACCATACAACATGAAAGTCAGTGGACCAGGTCTTTCTTTATAAAAGTACAGGTATTCAGTCCTCCCTACAACACAGGAACCTGGGTTCTCTGCAAGAGCAGCTGGTGTCCTTAACCACTCAGCCATCTCTTTAGCCTCAGACTAAAGAACTTTAAATGCCCCTCAAAACAGACTTTCCTCCTCAAATGCCAAAAAGCATACATAGAAATGGTCAAGGAATATTGAGATTTGTTAGAAGACATTGTCTAGTCCTAGTTTTAAGAAAATACAAGTCTGTAATCTCTGTAATTCAGTTTATCAACAAAACAAAGATTTCTACAAATTAAAAAGTAACTTGGGAGCCAGGGGTGGTGGCACACGCCTTTAATCCCAGCACTTGGAAGGCAGAGGCAGGTGGATCTTTGTGAGTTCGAGGCCAGTGTGGTCTACATAATGAGTTCCAGAACAGGTGGGGCTACAAGGAGACCCTATCTCAAAAAGACAAAAAAAAAAAAGTAACTTGGGAGTTATTTACAAAGATGAATTGAGAAACAGTCAAAAGTTAGGCACTGGTGGAGCTGGAGAGATGGCTCAGCGGTTAAGAGCACTGACTGCTCTTGGAGAGAACCCGGTTCTATTCCCAGTACCCACATGGTGGCTACAAACCGTCCTTAACTCCAGTTCCAGGGGAATTGGAAGCCCTCTTCTGACCTCCGCAGCATTGCACGACACGGGTGCACTCACATACATGCAGGCAATACACTCGTACACATAAAATAAAAATAATAAAATACTTTTTAAAAAGTTAGGCACTGGTAACTGCTCCTGGGCTAGGTTTCTTTGCCTTTCAGTAGGGGCCCAGACCTTTGCAGACTGTCTGAGAGTGCCTGGATCCAGCTTCTGCATGATTGTGCAAAGCTCATCCCCCTACAATGAGACAGTATGTGGTCCCTCTCACTGTTCCAGAGCTAGGCTTACGCAATGGAGTTCTACACAGCAGTAAAGATGAAATAACGAAATTTGCAGGTAAATGGATGGAACTAGAAACTGTTATACTGGGCTGGAGAGATAGCTCACTGGTTAAGAGCACTGGTTGCGCTTGCAGAGGCCCTGGGTTCAAGTACTAGCACCCACACAGCAGCTAACAATTGACCATAGCTCCAGTTCCAGGGAATTTGATGCCCTCTTCTGATCTCCGCAGGCACTGCACAATGATGCAGGTACACTTACATACATGCAGGCAAAACACTCATACACATAAAATAAATATTATAAATAAAATATTTAGGGCTGGAGAGATGGCTCAGCAAGAACATTTGCTGTTCTTCCAGAAGACCCAGGTTCAATTCCCAGCACACACATGACTGCTAACAACTGTCCTTAACTCCAGTTCCAGGGGATCTGACGCCCTCTTCTGGCCTCTGTAGTCTTTGCACGACACAGGTGCACTTATATACATGCAGGCAATACACTCATACACATAAAATAAAAATAATAAATAAAATATTAAAAAGAAGAAACTGTTATATTAAGTGAAGTAACACAGACTTGGAAAAATAATGTATGTTCTTCATTTGTGGATCCTAGCACCAAATCCTTATATGAGAGTATCCTGATTTAACTGCAGGAACCAGGAGAATGGAAAGTAACCAGGAAGGTAAAGGGAAAGAAGGAACCTGAGAGAGAACAACAGTAGGAGACAGGTGTTACTAAGAGAGAAATGTGTAAAATGGGAGTAGTTAAATGGGAGGGAGAGAGGGGGGGTTATACAAGGAACTATGTGAATAAAGGGGAAGAAGGAGCTCAAGAGAGGTGAAGCCATCCCAGATAGGAATTATCAAGGGAGAAATGGGTAAACAGGGCACTTTAAACAGAGAGGCAGTGGAGGGAGCATTAGACAGGGAGAGAAAAAGGAGAGATAAATAATGCCTAACTAGTATAAAAATCCAGAGGGAATCATATTAGTCCAGTGACCTACTGAAAAATTACACATATGTATCTCTCTACATTAGTCCACGTGTATAGCTGAAGGCTACATAACAAGAAACAGTACCAGACAGGAGACATCTTCCTTTGAGTTGTTCGCCAGGGTAGTCCAAGAGACTCCCAAAATTATACAGGTTATTGCTACAGTCCTTGCTTACTTCTCAGAACTTGAAGGTTACACCCTATTGATGAAGACAGGACATACCTTGGACACAGGATTTAGAGCAATGGAGCTGGAACTGACCTGGAAGCCACCTTCCCTGAAGGCTAGCTCTCACACTTTCGGAGAGCACTATGCAAACTACTAAGGGAGAACATCAATCAACGGTCCAACTCCAGCTTCAAGGCCTAAAAACCACATCAAAGTCTAGCACAGCAAACGACATAGGTACAGTAGTGGCACTTTTATCTTGGGGGTAATCAACAGCTACCTAATTGGACTTAAAGCCCACTCAATGGGAGGAAACTCATGTGTGGGACTTGTAAACCCAGCCAAATACACATAGCTAGAGAGAGCATGATTTTAGAGAAAATCCCAAGGCTGTCACTTCCCTAGATAAATATAATTTCTTACTATGTGCAAAAAAATGGATCCTTAAATTTACAGACAAGTATCCCAGTCACCACACATCAAAGAAGCTTCTTTTTCAACAGACAAGAGATTATTACAGAGTTCTACAACTGGTCACACACAGAGATTGTCTGTAAATTGGCCAAGCCTAAGTGGCACATCTACGATGTAACCTCTACACCTAAGGCTCACAGAACATAGAACTAGGAATGAAGAGAACACTAAAGCATCTTTCAATTCTCATCAATGAAGTGCCCTCATGCCACAGTGGGTCAGGAACACAAAAGGTCACAAAGGGCCAAAACATAGAGAATCAGAGTCACCAGAGTGTGGGTCCTTGGACAGGACTCCTATATTAAAATCCACCCACACAGGGCTCAGGACTCAGTGCCAGAAGAGGGGGCAGAAAGATTCTAAGGCCCAGGGAGGAAGGTGCATGACCATACGGAAATGGAATCCTACAGGTTCCTGGGAGCCTTCTCATATGAACCTACAGCAATGGTGTCGGCATGCACAACACCCATGCAAACTCAAGCAGACAAAAAAGCCAGCACAGAACTATGGAAATGGACAGCAGGCCCCAGTCTTAGTCGAAGAATTAGTGGTAGTTGATTACTGTTGAGTGACGAAGAGCTGGTCTTGTTAAAAGGAGAGATTGTACATAGGCTGACTAGACCTCAGTGGATAAACTTGCACTGAGGGAAATCTGGAGACACTAACTTGACATGATAGGCCTTAACACAAATGACAGACTATATGCATGCAGTGGGGTGGGGGGGGGTCAATGGGAAAGGAGATATAGATGATTTAGATGTTCTGTAAGAAATACACAAAAATTCAATACAAATTAAAAATATTTTTTTTAAAAAGTCAGGCACTGGTAACACACGGCTTTAATTTCAGTATTTGGAACACTGGGGCAAGAGTATGGTGAATTCATGGTCAGTCTGGGTTACATAGTAAGACTCTGACTCAAAAATAAAATAAAATAAAAAAGTGAAATGTGCTTTAATGAAGTCTAAAGACTCAATAATTTTAAGTACTAGTAAAACGCTTTTAAGTACTGAGTAAGCCTTAGTATTACTCCAGACTGTGAATAAAGCATGCCTATTATTAAGCTTATCTTTTAGGGTCTCTGAGTGCTCTATCACCAAGTTTGCAAGCACTACATTTTTTTAATTATTTATTTAATAAACACAAACTTAGAAGACGCATTTCATTACAACAGCATTGACATATTCAAAAACAATTTCCTGAGCTAAGACACATCTCTTCCAAAATTGGCTGTAAATTTTTAGGTTTACAGTTGAATTATTATAGTTATACAATATTGTACTCAGTATAAACCCTATAAGATATAAAATTAAATAAATGAAGTTTTAATCTTTAAAAAAAGATCTCCGTTTCATTATTAAAATACATAGTTTCATACAGAAAAGTTCATTTTTAATGCAATTGACACTAAGATGTTTGCACATGCATTTCTAATCTCTATATATCAGATTATTACTAGGTGGTAGGTAGACTGCATTATCAAAACCTCAGATGCTCATAAAAGTCTGCACTATTTGGAATCCCTTAGGAGACAAAGCAGTTGCTGCTGTGGAAACTGCATTTTTTCAGAACCGCTAAAAGCACCTCATCCAGATGAGTGAAAAACAAAACTAATCATTTATTTTTAATAACTACATGATTAGAAGCATTTCACTACAGAATTAATATATTCAGTAACACACTCCAGAGTAAGATTACATCTCTTTCACAAGTGGGTGCAAGTGTCTAGGTTCACAGTTGAGTTAATACAGTTATCCTGGGTTTTTAACCAGAGCAATAGCATGATCACATTTGCCTTTTTGAATGTTTTAATGTATCTGTTACAGAATAAATAGATTGTAGGTGGTAAAAACAGGAGCAGATAGATTAGGTCCTGGGGGATTGCAGTAGTTTAGGTGAGAAACACTGCTGATGGCAGCAGGGAGGCAAAGTCAATGCACTTATAGGAAGCAGAGTTGAAAGGATCTGGTAACCATGCAATTTCCATGCTTCCTCCTCAAATATACATTTTTTAAATTTGTTAACTTTTTTTTGTGTATCACACAGAACATCCCAAACCATCTTATTCAATTATACACCCACTTCCCAGATGGCACCCTCCCACATCCTCCCTCCCCCCACTAGAGCCCTTATACTCTGATATCCCTGCTATTGTCTGCTGTTGTCGGCACCTCCAGCCATTCCCCACTACTTGCCCTTCTGGTGAATCTAGTCAGGCTATCTAGAGGTCTTTGTTTTAGGAGGGTCAGCTGTTCCTCATCTAGCAGCAATCAGTTGTCAATATTCCTTTAGATAAGATTGGGGTCTGCTGTTCATTTTCCCAGTTCTATTCTGGGTTACTATCTGGGAGCCCCTTTGGCCACCCTGGCCAACAACTCAAAAAAAGGTATCTCCTATCTGAGATTGTTGGCAAGCACTACATTTTTAATAACATTTATAGTAGAATTCATGAAGAAAGCAATTTCAATTACTTACATTTCGTGTCCATGCTAAACGGTCTGTGTTATAACCCATCATGTTCAGGAGACAGATGACAAATAAATTCCACTCTGAATGATAACTGGGTCCCCCTGGAGCACTGTGGACATTGTACCACTTGACAAGCATCTGAACAGCTATTTCTTTTGGCAGGATAAACTTAATTGCTTGCAGACATGTTTGTACTATTAAAAGCAAACATTCATTTTAGTGTGCTTCCTATGTGTGTACTTCTTTGTTCTTTTCAAATACAAAGTTTAAAATTACTACTATGTAAAGCTAGTCACTACGCAAAGAGAACTGTCAGAAAGGAGCCAATCATATACAAATATTACCTCACCAATTATCAATCGTTGTAACTTTAAAGCAACTACTGAATTCAGTAAGGCTCAAAGGAAACTGGAGGTAGCTACCTGATCCCTAATCTGGCATTAGAAATAAGGTGAGCAGATAGCCCAGTTCTTTTGAGACAATCCTGATTTACACCCACTGCCCAATGTAAATGTTGTAGTTTACTCTATGGAAAAACATACAAATTTCTTCATCAATAAAAGTAAGTATAATATTCAATAGAGGCATCTAGCAACAGCAATGCTTAGGTAGCATCACAGGAGGTTCTACGTGAGTGAACATTTCTGTTAACCAAAGCTGTAACTTTCAATTTATAAAGTGTCATAAATGAGCTGGGCATGGTGGCGCACGCCTTTAACTCCAGCACTCGGGAGGCAGAAGCAGGTGGATCTTTCTGAGTTCAAGGCCAGCCTGGTCTACATAGCAAGTTCCAGGCCAGTTGGAGCTATAGGGAGACCCTGTCTCAAAAAAATAAAGTGTCACCAGGCGTGGTGGTGCACGCCTTTAATCCCAGCACTCAGGAGACAGAGGCAGGTGGATCTCTGTGAGTTCAAGGCCAGCCTGGTCTACATAGTGAGTTCCAGAACAGCTGGGGCTACAGGGAGACCCTGTCTCAAAAAGACTAAAATTAAATTAAATTAAAAAAATAAAAAATAAATAAATAACTAGTCATAAATGGATTAGGGTAAATGCTATGTAATCTATATTATTATTAACAATGTAGAATTATTGGCGTGAACATCAGTTACAGCTGAGAGAGGCAAAAGTACTGCTTACCATAAAGGGCACAGACCTGCTTTCAGAAGTGAATGAGTCCAAACAGTAGCATTTTTCATTCTTGTAACCTCTCTCTGGAGCACCTCCCCTCCCAAATAACTGTCCCCAATGTCATCCTAAGCACTATACCCTATTCTCTCTTCTCGTCAATTTGCTACGTGAGCACAAAGATCAGAAGCAAACAGCTATACATGTTGGGAAACCAAATAAGTATGACATAATCAAATGCAAAGTTAAATGTAAACAAGATGCTGCACAGGAACTATTCATAAGAAACTATTTGCATCAACCACGTGGCTTCTAAATGGCTATAAAGGGTGAAGCTTTGTTTTTATTTATTGTATTTCCTCCCTTATTTACATTTATTCATTTTTGGGGGGTAAAAGAGTGCATGCCAAAGCACATGTGTGGTAGTCAGAGGACAATTTGTAGGAATGCGTTCTCTTCTTCCACCTCGTGGGTTCTACGTTTCAATGTCATCAGGCTTGGCTAGGTGTTTCATGTTCCTCCCTCTGACCCACCCCCACCCTTAAAAAAAAAAAAGATGCTGCCTAGGTGGTTGGAACTCACTTTTTAGACCAGGATGGGCTCAAACACTCAAACAGAGAGACCTGACTGTCTCTACCTCCAAGCTGGGATTAAAGGCATGTGCAACCACACCTGGCTCAATGTCTTATTTGGGCTGTTAAATTTTGAAACTAAAACATGTTATCAATGTCCTATCACATAAACATCCTTTTCTTATGTTTGTTGGCAGTCTTCCAATTCTAACATTCTGTTTACCATTCTGTTCAGAAACCTCCACTAGTATCTTCCAAACGCATTTCAGTAATAATTGAAGCAGACTCCAATGATTTATTATAATAGCTCTAGTTACATTTTGAATATAATACTCTTTTACTCCATCAAAGTAATTATGTTAATTTTATAATTTATCCGAATACTGAGAAATTTATTTTAGGATTGAAAACACTATTAAATATGCCAGGAAATATTTTAATTGCTTCTCACTTCTTAGTTTTTCTTTAAAAAGAAAAACTTTTTATGTTCCCCACTAACTTTACATGACAGACCTTAACAGAAACGACAGAAGGTATGAATTCTGGGGGTTTGGGGGTGGGGGACATTTGTGGGACAGTGCCAAAGGGGAAGGGGGTATAAAGATGATTTTCTGTATGAAATACACAAAAATTCAATAAACTTTTTTCTAAAAAAGCATGTCCCCATAGCATAACTTCCAAGGCACAAGAGTCTCAGATTCTGGCTGCTATGGCACATGCCTGTAGTCTCAGGGAACTAAAAGGAACTAAGAGACTGAGGCAGGAGAATTCCAACTTCAAGGCCTGCCCAGGCTATAGAGTGAATTCAGGCCAACTTAGTGAGCGCCTATTTCAAAACAAAGAGTGATTAGGATTCAGTTTAGTGACAAAGCCAGACTTTAGCTAATCCCTAGCACCGCACCAAAAAAAAAAAAAAAACCCTTCTAGAAACAGGGTTGGCATCTCATTTAACTGTACTGCAACTTCAGAGATGTGGAGAAGACCTAGCAAAGTACTCTTCAACTGTCTACTACAGTCTGCAAAATGAAAAGCCTGACTCAAGGGCTTGAAAATGGACCAAATAATCTGTAAGCCTCAATTATCAATGTAAATGAGCAATTACTCTGAAAGTAATAAATCAAACTGGAAACATGTAAGAGAGGCCTGCGTCTCAATCGTACCTAATTCAGAGGTGGCAATTTCAGGAATTGTGATCCTGACCATGGAGCCATTACTCAGTTCCTAGTGAAAAGAACACAAACAAGAAAGAAAAAAAAAAAAAAAAAAAAAAGAACAATTCTGAACATTCTAAGTCTCTGAAAGTTCAAAAAAATAATCTGTAATTTATAACACTGCTCACCTGAAAGCAAAATTCAATAAAATAAACTGCATTTTTTAAAGAGATAAACATTTCCAAACAAATATGTTTATTTGCAAAATACATTCAAAATTTTTGTCTTAATAAAAACTAATAGACACCATCATCAAAGAGGTGACTTACTTTCACTGTAAAGACAAAAGCATATAATTGAATACCTTAACATGCTTGTTTTCAATAAATTTTAACAATATAGAAACTTTAGAAAAACATAAGCAGAATTAAAGTAAAATAATACAAAAATTACACATTAAAGTGTATTTTTAAAATCATGAGACATGGAGTCGGCAAGATGGCTCAACGGGTAAAGGCACTTGCCACACAAATTTGGCAACCTGAGTTTGAGTCCTACAACCCACATAAAGGTAGGAGAGAACTGACACCACAAAGTTGTCCTCTGACCTCCACATGCATGTGTACAGCCCACTCCCACCCACACACAGTTTTTTTTTTAAATCCTGAGATGTTTAGTTTCATTTTTTGCACAAAATTTTACCTTCTGACAAATCTGAATAATCAGTCAAATAATTCTTGGAAAGCTACCTGATCTTTTAAAGCTATACTTACTAGAGTAACTCTGTTATGAACAGGATCTCTAACAGAATGAATGTAAGTTCCAAGCTGTTGGAAAGTACAATCCTCATTGTAGAGAGAATCATGAAGTTTTGAAGAATCCCTCAGTTCTGGAACAGGGGACAACAGAACCGCCTATAAAAAGTCATAATACAACATAGATAAAGTACTTCTTGAAGAATTAAAGAACTTAGCTATATTTTTGTACATGATCCAATACTTCAACTCATTGTGTTCCAGAGATAATGAAGTACCTCAAAGCAGACCAAGGTCTTCATAGGTAACATCTGACTAACGGCACTGGAAAGCTATGGAGGCAATCTGGACTGAAGGGATCAAGGTCTAAGCAAGAGGAAAACCTAGGAGCTGGGGCAGGGGGCACACAACATTGCTACAGTGCTTTTTCTGATCTGGGTAGTTGTACTTTTGAGGCTGGGGAGGGGTGGCAGGTGCACAGGCTGAGTCATGACTTGGGGACCTAAAAATCCAGAGAGAAGAGCTACAAGGAAAAGTGAAGAAATTAGACCACTAGTGAGTACCAGTTCTCCTATAAACAAATATTTGAATATAAGGACAGAAATTATTTTACAGACAGGCAAATGAAAACTCTAAATGGCCTTTTTACTAACACAGGTGCTTCCAATCTTAAGTTTCTAGTCATGATTACTGACCTTTTCTGTATTCATACAATTCAAATTACAGGCTATCTTTAAGCAAAGATTTTATCAAAATTGAGAGCCAATGAAGCTTGAAACTTATGGCTGCTTTCTATTCCAACAGTTACCTGGAAAACCAACTCCACTACTCTTAACTCTGGCACAATCTAGCGGAGAAGCAGCAACTCCATCTGCAGATATGTTAAACTATGTTTCCTGGGACCTGACAGCAAAAGACACTAATACCTAGGTTAATGAATTCCTTAAAAAAAAAAAAAAAAAAAAAAAAAGTAAAGCATTTTTTATCACAAAAGATGTGTACCCATCTATATAATGATTACAGAACTATCTTCCCAATCAGTAAAGTTGCTATAAGCCCTTAAATATGATAATACTGACAAAGCACTTAGTGCCTAGCATGTAGAAAAACTCTCAAGAATTATTACTACTACTTCATCCCACTCTCTGTCCTGTCTCACCCAACACACTACTTACTGTAGTCTTACTGTAGTCTTGTAGTCTTATGTGTTACAAGATGGAGATATATGCACTTAAAAGAAATCTTCCAGCCGGACATGGTGACTGGCTAAGCCAGTATGGTGTTTAATCCCAGAACTCCAGGGGCAGAGGCAGAGGCAGGTGGATCTCTGTGAGACCCTTGTCTACATAATGAGTTCCAGGCCAGTTAGGGCTACAGTGAGACCATGTCTCAAAACTAACAACCAAAAAAAAAAAAAAAAAGAAATAAACCAACCAGGTGGGCACCTTTAATCCCAGCACTGAGAACACTCAGGAAGCAGAGGTAGACAGATTTCTGTGAGATCAAGACCAGTCTGGTCTACATCGTGAATTCCAGACCAGCTGGGGCTACAGGGAGACCCTGTCTCAAAAACACACAAAAACAGAACATCCTATATGGGTGTAGTGGTTCATACCTATAATCCCAGCAAGAAGGAGGTAAAGGCAGGGGAATCAGGACTACAAGGTCATCCTAGGCCAGATTGAGGTCAGCCTGGGCTACACTGTCTCAAAAAAAAAAAAAAAGGAGGGGGGGTTCAACAGTGAGGAGCATTGACTGCTCTTGCAGAGGACCCAGGTTCAGTTCCCAACATCCATATGGCAGTGAACAACTGCCCCTAACTCCAGTTCCAGGGGATCTGATGCCCTCTTCTGGCCTCCATGTACATTATACAACACAGATGCACTTATATACATGCAAGCAATATGCTCATAATATAAAATAAAAATAATAAATAAGGGGCTGGAGAGATAGCTCAGCAGATAAGAACAATCAGTGTTGTTCTTGCAAAACACTCAGGTTCAAATTCTAGCACCCACATGGTAACTAACAACCGTCTGTAACTCCAGTTCCAGGGGATCTGATCTGTCCTCTGTGGGCACCACATGACATGGGTGCACTTACATACATGCAGGCATTATACTCATACACATAAAAAAATTAAAATAATTTTTAAAAACAGAAAGAAAAATCTTTTGCTCTCTCCTGCCTGCTTTTGCCCCAAATGCCCTTTTCTATTTCCAGATACTCTACTTATCCTCAAGATTCAGGTCAAGAGAGACATGCTTCTCAGAGAGGAGACTCTGCTTTTACCTTGCCATCCAACAGGATGCATATTCCCTTTGATCCTCATTCACAAGTCTTAACAGGCTACCCTAAATTATAGTTTCTTATGCAGACAGCACACCTTCTAAACAGAGAACAACTTTCATCTCTAAACCTTTGAAGAGCTCTACACTCAGTACTAGAGAGGTCAGCATATGGTTAAGATCATTTGCACTTGAAAACACTTGTCTATATATTACCTAAAATTAAGTTTAAAAAGATAGAAAGAACTAGTATTTGTTTAAATTACTATCAACTTCTGACAACACCTAATCTATGTCTTACCTCATCCATTGATCCAAGTAGTTTACTGAGTGGCTTGGGAGTACTAACACCATCAAGTGGTGTACTAGGCCGAGGCATGCTGCTGGACATAGTCAGAGAAGGAGCTGGAAGTCCAGGAATGAAAACCTTTCCTACCTTTGAGTGATAAAAATATGGGGGAAAAAAAAAAAATTGGCCTTAATGAATAGATCATAACCTCAAGTAAAATGTTTAGGAAACTTTCTTTAGGTATGTCAAAATTTGTGCTCACTAAACACAACTAAATACCAAATAAAATTCTTATTTAACAATTGTTCAAATTCTACCACCCAATTGCTAATACCTCACTATAATTTCTTTTGAATGATTCAGAAAAATATTTTTGCAGGAAAGCAAGGGGGGGGTTCAATATAGTCAAGATATTATGCAAAATCCAAGCCAGCCAGCATACCTTTAATCCCAGCACTCCAGAGGCAAAGGCAAGCAGATATCTGTGAGTCCAAGGCTAGCCTGGTCTACATAGAGTTCTAGGTCAGCTAGGGCTACAGGGAGATCCTGTCTCAAAAAACAAAGAAGGCCGGGCATGGTGGCGCACGCCTTTAATCCCAGCACTTGGGAGGCAGAGGCAGGCGGATCTCTGTGAGTTCAAGGCCAGCCTGGTCTACATAGTGAGTTCCAGGACAGCTGGGGCTACAGGGAGACCCTGTCTCAAAAAAACCAAAAAAAAAAAAAAAAAAATCCCCACATAGTATATCTATGTAAGTCAGAGTCATGTCTGTGACTTTCTTTAGGTAAAAACTCAAAAACAAAGGAAAGTAAGCAAATTCTTCTTTAGTAATATAAATTGCAGAAAGTAACAAAAATCAAGAGACTGAGTTACTGGAAAAGTCATATATGGGAAGGAGATGGGAGTTGCATTCAGAAGGGAAAATAATGAAGACACTGGCAGGCCAGACATGTTGACAAATGCCAACAATGTAACTGCTGGTAATCCCAGCAATTAGGAGGTGAAGGCATGAGGATCCCAAGACCAATGCCAGCCTGCAATACTTAATGAGGCCCTGACTCAAAAGCAAAATAATTATTTGATAAAAAATAAAGATGGCCTAAAACTCACCATGCAGACCAGGGTGGGCTCTGACTCACAGAGATCCATCTGCCTCTACCTCCCAAGTACTGGAATTAAACCCCATGCCCAGCTCAAAACTTTATTTTTAAGAATCCACCTATACTCAATAAAAGTATCCCATTCATTGGTAACAAGTTCACGGTGTCAATGCATTTAACAAGTGAGCCCTAGTCCAACTTAAGACTAGCTTACACAATTAATTTCACTTTCAACTTAACAAGAATTGTCGCCTTCCTTAGCACACTAGGCAGAATGACAGACTCCTGCCAACCTGTGCAGGCAGGAGCAGAGCACATTTTATACAGTGAACACAGTTCTGCCCAAGCATGAAGCACTGCTTACTTACCCGAACCACTCCCGTGTACAGCACCAGGTTCCCATTGCCTTCCAGAACCAACATGGTATCTATCTTCTAAAAAGAGACAAAAATATTCCCATTTCATTCTGAGTAAATTAACACAATTTTAGGCTGAAAAAATCTATAAAGCATAGTAATTTTCCACTTCGCAATAAATGTATCTGCATTTACCTCCACTGGTGCTGCATCCTTTGCATGTATGTTGGTGACAGAGCCAAAGATGAGCTGGGTCTTATCATTACTCTCTTGAAACTTTACACAGCTATATATTAAAATAAAAAAAGAAATGAGCTACCAATAGATATAACAATCTGCACAAGTCTTCAGAGTACCATGTTGAAGGAAGAAAGACTTTAAAGGATGTATACTATGTGGTTCCATTTATGTAACATTCTCAAAGGGTAAAATTACAGAACTGGAAATCAAGACTGTGCTTACTAGGGGTGGGAAAAGAGGGGTTGCCAGTAGGACTATGGGATAACTATAAACAAGTGGCACAGGGGAAATCTTCAAGGTGATAAAGGTATTTTATATGTTGATTGTTAAAACATTTAAACACATCTGCAAATGTGAGAAAGCTGCATGGAACCATAGAAAAAGACACTCAAATGAATACATACAAAACTGAAAAAAAAAAATATATATATATATATATGTACTGCAGCCGGGTGTGGTGGCACATGCCTTTAATCCCAGCACTTGGGAGGCAGAGACAGGCAAATATCTGTAAGTTCAAGACCAGCCTAGGGTCTACTTAGTGAGTTCCAGGTCAGCTGGGGCTACAGAGAGACCCTGTTTCAAAAAGACCAAAAAAAAAAAAAAAAAAGTACTGTAGTTACTAAGATATTACCAGAGGAGAAAAATACTGCATTGGGGCCAGTGAGATGGATCAGCAGGTAAGGTATAGCTGCCAAGCCTGATAACCTGAGTTTGATCCCCAGGACCCACATGGTGAAAGGAGACAACCAACTCCTCCAAGTTGTCTTCATACCTCTACATGGGATGCATGAGTGCATATGCACACAAAAAAATAATTAACTGTAATAAAAAAAATTAATAAAGACTACATGGTCCAGAGGGACCTCTATAATTTTTCAACTTCCTACAAGTTATATTTTTTAATGAAAAGGCAAAAAAATGGACATAAAATAATTGAATAGATATTTCTGCTAAGAAAGTAGATGAGAATCCTTCTCATGTGCCCACAATGAGAAAATGATCAATATGAAAAAGACATCAGGGAACTATAATAGACACTACTTCACATTCCATTAGGATAGCCATAATCAAAGATACTGACACTATCAAACATTGTTTAGGATAAAGAAAAACAAACCTTCACACACTAGTGGTAGGAATGCAAATGATGCAGCCTATTAGAAATCAACCGGGCAATTTCTTAAAACATTAAACATGAATTCAACATTCAATCCAACAATTTCACTGCTAGGTATCTACTTAATCACTGCTACAAAAGAAAAATTATAGATGATGAGGGGGGAGAGGGAGAGGGGGAGTGAGGGATGGAGGGAGGGAGGGGGAGGGGGAGAGAGAGAGAGAGAGAGAGAGAGAGAGAGAGAGAGAGAGAGAGGAGAGATCCACAAAGATTTTGCTCCAAAGTTCAGTGTCCATCAATTGATAAGCAGGTAAGTAATGCAGCATACTATACAATAAATAACTATATGGCAACAGAGATTATTCTGATATGGCAACAGAGATAAAGAACCGTTCCAATATAGTACACCCTAAAAATCACTATGCAGAGTAAAAAAGTTGATTACAAAAAAACTACATATATGTGGTGGGGCATGGTGATGTACACCTTTAATCCCTGCACTTGGGAAGTAGAGGCCAAGTGGATCTCTGTGAGTTCTAGGCCAACCTGGTCTATATAGTGAGTTCTAAGCCAGCCTGGTCTATATAGTGAGTTCCAGGTCAGCCAGAGATATATAAGACGATTTTTTTAAATTAAATCTCCATTTACATGATTATATAATTCTGTTGCCATATAGATTGTGGTGGATGGCTGCATACTTTCGTAAGCTGGATTGTGGTGATGGCTGCATACTTTTTTAAGTTTACTAAAAATCAGGGCTGGAGAGATGGCTCAGTAGTTAAGAGTGCTTACTGCTCTTCCAGAGGACCTGAGTTCAGTTTATAGGATGTAGTTTATACCATGTAGGGCAGCTCACAACTGCCTCTAACTCTAGCTCCAGAGGATCTGACACCTTCTTTTGGCCACCTCGGGCACCTGCACTCATATAAACATACACATAATTTTAAATAATAAAAATATAAATCTTAGCTGGGCATGGTGGCATACTCCTTTTAATCCCAGCACTTGGGAGGCAGGGACAGGTAAATCTCTGTGAGATCAAGGCCAGCCTGGTCTACATAATGAGTTCGAGCCAGCTGGGACTATAAAAACACCAAAAGATAAAAATAAATAAAATTTACTAAAAATAATTTACTTGTACACTTAGAACATGTCAATCTCAGGATGCCTAAGTAATTTCTTAGTGAAGCCACATAAGAAAAATAGGAGAAAGAAGGAATTAACCTTAAATTATTTAGAAAGAAATAATGGGAAATATAAACACTTACCGTAACTGGAGCTGGGACTCCACTAAAAAGCACAAGAATTTTTGTCCACATAGGTCAGATGTAATAAATACCTTTGAGGCTTGTGAACTTTTCTCTCTGTAGCAGATACATCAAGAAACTGTCAGTTTTAGTCCAAAATCTACCACAGTAACTTAAACATCTTTGAAAACATTCTACAAGAAATCTAAAAACTTCTTGGATCAAGTGATTATCATGAAGACACAAAAAAAACCTCATTTCTGCATCTAATCAACCATCACTCTTTCTCCCCAAGGCTAATTCACTCCACTCTCAGGATTCCTCTTTCATCCATTATTTCCTTTCTCCTGTGCTTTCATGCTTCCCCTACTTGAGAGTACAGCCCTACTAGCTCACACTCTCATGGTAAGTCTTAAAATAAGAATATAGAGTAAGGGGCTGGACAGATGGCTCAGCAGTTAAGAACATTGGTTGCTCTTGCAGAAGACCTGGGTTCAAATCCCAGCACCCACATGGCAGCTAACAACTGTCCATGACTCCAGTTCCAGGGGATCCGACAGCCTCTTCTGTTCTCCGCAGGCATTGCACAACACTGGTGCACTTACCTACATGCAGGCAATATACTCACACACATAAAATAAAAATAATAAATAAAATATTAAAAAATGTAAGGGGCTGGAGAGATGGCTCAGTGGTTAAGAGCACTGACTGCTCTTGCAGAGGACCCAGGTTCGAGTCCCAGCACCCACATGGCGGCTATGAACCGCCCTTAACTCCAGTTCCAGGGGAATCCGAAGCCCTCTTCTGACCTCTGCAGCATTGCACGACATGGGTGCACTCACATACATGCAGGCAATAAATACACTCATGCATAAAAGTAAAATAATATTTTTTTAATTTAAAAAAAATATGGAGTAAATACAAGATGATATAAAGGGTTAACTGGAAAGCTGGGGAGATGGCTCAATAGTTAAAGCAACTGCCTCATGAACATGAGGATCAAAGGGGTTTTAATATTTTATTTTTTATTTTATGTATATGAGTATATTGTATACATGTATATAAGAGCACCCATGTCATGGATCCCTGGAACTGGAGTTACAGATGGTTGTTAGCCACCATATGGGTGCTGAGAACTGAACCTGGGTCTTCTACAAGAGCATCCAGTACTTTTAACCACTGAGCCATCTCTCTAGCCCCAAAGGATCAGAATTTTTATCCTCAAAATCCACCTAAATGCTGGGTAGGCATAGCAGACTAAAACTCCACTCTTTGGAAGGCAGAGACAGGATTCCAAGAGAAAGCTGGCTAGCTAGACTAGACATATTAGTGAACTCTGGGTTCAACTGAAAGACCTCGTCTCAATGAATAAGGTATAAGAGGAATGAAGGAAGACTCCTGATACCAACCTTGGACCTCAACATGCACATACCGTTATGGCCACATACAAACACACACAAGGGAAATAAACGGAAAAATTAACTGGGTTGAATGTAAAACTGGTAACATGGTTAGACAGGAAACTGTTCTTAACTTGTATATATACACCCCAACACATTTAGGGGGAAATTCCTAAGATTTCTTTTCTTTACATAGTTCAGTAAAAGCAAAACTCTCCTAGGTAATGCCTTAAAATAGTCCATATGCCTAGGCTCACATCCTCAGCTCCCACTTATATTTTCTTTTTTTTATATATATTTTATTATTTTTATTTTTTGTGTTTGAGTATATCGCCTGCATGTGAGTGTACCCATGTCATGCAATGCCTTGGAGGTCAGAAGAGGACTTTGGATTCCCCTGGAACTAGAGTTAATGGAACTAGAGTTAAAGACAAGGACTCAAACCCGGGTCCTCTGCAAGAGCAGTCAGTGCTCTTAACCACTGAGCAGTCTCTCCAGCCCCACACTTACATTTTCTACCCCACTTCTCCTACTACCTTTCAAGCCTAAATGATCTGGCCATGGTCACCACTAATCTGACTGCTGTCCAGGAACCTCCCTCTGAGCTCAACTGTCAGGGCCACAATCAATGCACTAGCACTTGCCAATACCGGCACCTCTGTCTTCTTGAAATGATGTGTGTGTTATCTGATGTTCCACAATATTAATCCCATTTGTCCTCATGTACTTTGTCTCTCTGGGGCAGCTTTGTCTCTTTTCACCTCCCAAATCTCAAGTTTCCAGGACTTCAGTTCTAGCCTTTTATATCATTCGGTTTTAAGTGATAGTATTTAAGAGTATTTAAGATTGCTAAAAACTCCTGCTTGGAGGTGGGGGGGAGGCTGGAAAGATGATCAGCAGTTAAGAAGCACTTGCTGCCCTTGTAGAGACCATGGTTCAGCTCCTAGCAACCACTTGGAGACTCACAGTTCCAGAGGATCCAATGCTCTCTTCTGGCCTCCTTGAACACAAGGCATGCGTACACATGTAAGCAGGCAACACACACACATAAAATAAAAAGAACTAAATCTTAAAAAGCAATACAAGCTGGGTGTGGTGGCACATGCCTTTAATTCCAGCACTCTGGAGGCAGAGGCAGGTGGATCTCTCTAAGATTTACATAGGAAGTTCTAGGCCGGCTGGGAGAATGTGTCTCAAAAACCAAACCAAAACCAAAACCACTTTGGAAAAGGTCTATAGAGCACACATACCTATGATCACTTAACACAATTCCAGAGTTGACAGAGCCTTGCAAGCTCATCTGCAGGCTCTGCAGAAACACCTGAAGCCCACGACTCATACTCTGTAAATCCTGATCCACCTCTCTTGCCTCAATCACCACTTTCAAGCCCACAACCCAGGTTTGTTGCTCCACTCTTTTCATTTTTTTTTCCTGTTAATAATTTATTTATTTTTATTTTATGTGTATAAGTGTATTGCCTGCGTGTAGATAAGTGTATCTATGTCCTGCAATGCCTGAGGAAGTCAGAAGAGAGTGTTGAATTTCTGGAACTGGAGTTACAAATGGCTGTTAGTCGCCACGTGGGTGCTGAGACTCAAACCTGGGTCCTCTGCAAGAACAAGTAGTACTCTTAATCACTGAGCCATCTCTCCAGCCCCTTTTCCTTTTTTTAACTATACACGTTAAGTGCCTTCTTAAATGCTCTGATCAAAAAGAACAGTCCTCGCACATGAAGTTAGAAGAGAAAAATGGTGGAAAGGAGTGTGGAGGAATTGGGCAGGATTGAATGAGGGGGTGGTAGATTTGATCATATTCTCTCAAGCCTCTTCTTCGTTATGCCTTCCAAAGCAAAGTGGGAATTTTTCTTGAATAAGCCACACATTCACAGTTCTGAACTGTTCTTCGGATCACAGCTGCCTATGGCAACTTCCTCACCCACCTGTCCAATAAATACCTACACAAGGTAGGTATTTCACAAGGCCTCCCTGCAGAAGCAGTGTCACCAGCTTCAGCTACATGTCTCTCTTTTGAAAGCAGGGACAGTCTCTTACTGCCCTGTTAATTAGCACACATACTGGCATATGGCTGAGTTAATTAACAAATTACCAAAGAAATCGTAAGAAAAGGTCACATATTTCCCCAAAAGTAGAACTGGCATCTAATATGAAGATAAAATTTATCAAAAACTGTTATAAAAACCTCAAATTACAAAATCCACAGAAATTAGGTGTTACTTTGAAAAACAATCACCTCAAATATTAGATATTACTAAATTAAAGAAATATCACATGAGGGGCTAGGCATGGTGGTACACACCTTTAATCCTAGCACTCAGAAGGCAGAGGCAGATGGACCTCTGTGAATTCAAGGCTAGCCTGGTCACTATAGCAAGTTTCAGGCCAGTCAGGGATACAGAGTAAGACCTGGTCTCAAAATTAAAAAAAAAAGACATGACTATAAGAATGTGTATGTGTGTACATACATATATATACATACA